ACAATTAGGGTCTCTCCTTAACCAGCAGATAAGACTGTGGACAAATCATGCGCTGGGCTCTTATTTCCTCTTTCACCACAGTGATTAGATTAGATCAGTGTTCTCAGCTCTGATGTCTGAGTTCTCTTCTACCTCCACTGTTAGATACTTGAAAGGGTTTTTCCTCATTAATGTTAAAAGATGTAATTTCAGAATGCATATCACCTTATTTGTGGACTATTCTGAATGTGGACTAATTGGCTATCTCAAAAAACCTAGAATAAATAAAAATGAATTAATGAAGTCTTAACCCTCTTTTTTTTTCTCCTTTTAGGAAGTAAAATGAAATTTCTTCAGAAGAAGTGAAGTCTTTGATTGACTGTCTCCATCCTAAATAGAACAGGATGTGTGCCAAGGAAACTATTTCTCCAGAGTCAGGATGCCTTGAAGTATTACACACACTCTTGAAAACTTTTAAAGTTTCAGAGTGAGTCCGGCTCTCATGTCAGAGAGGTGGAATCTCCCATTACTGCTGTAGTCATCACTGGAGAATTGTTGGGAGTAATCTAGAACCAGTGCTGTTTCTCACTGTGCCTCCATTTTTTTTCTTTCTTTTCTCTCTCTCTCTTTTTTTTTAAGTGCCTCTTTCTGTTTGATGTTTGGGTTCATTTTATGTGTTTTGTGCTTAGTCAATGAAGGCACTTGTTTTTGCAGGGGAAAGACTTGGTGTTAAAATTTTAAAGAAGCTCTAAAGTGAGTTGTTAAGTGCCATCAAATTGGTTCCAATTTATAGCGACCCTGTACAGAATTTCTGAGGAGCAGCTGGTGGATATGAACTGCTGACCTTGTGGTTCATGGTCTAGTGCTGATCCACAGCTCCACACCAGAGTACGATGAGGGAAATGCTGCTAGTAGGGTGCTGGGGAGGTAGGATGAAAGTGGAAAACACTAGCCCTGCACACAACTTTCATCCCTGAAATATGGCAGCTGTAACCACATAGGCTCTTTGAGCTAGACTGAGTAATGTACTCAATCATATAGCTCCATTTGTTTTAGTTTCATATTCTACCTAGGAGAATCCCACTCATGTGGAAACTCTACTCCATAGACTGGTATTGGGTATTTTATGAAAGTAGACATCTTGTAGCTCTTTCTCCATAATATGTGATACTTGGGTAGTGTATCCCTCACATGTCAGCATTAAACTTTGTGGAATTATAGTTGCTGGGGAAATGTCCTTTCAAGGGCATGGGACTACCATTTTTTATTATCTACCATGTGCAATGCACTATGCTACATATATGTATGTCATGTTATTCAGTCCTTACGTCAACTTTACGAGAGAAATATTTGCATCTTTATTTTATTAATGAAGAGATTAGAACTCAAAGAGGTTAAATTCCTTGCCCAAAGTGATACAAACGAACCAGTATTGAAGCCCAGGATGATTTTATGTACATAAATTGGTTAGTTTTACAGATGAAATTTTGAGCTTTGTGGGATTTAGCTACTTAAAAGTTTTCTATTCAACTGAAATATACCAGAGCTCCTCCTCGGTACCCCTTCCCTCCGGCTCTAGGGATGAGGGATTTCAAACTATAATGCCTTAGATGAGACTCTTTTGTGGCTCTCCTAGAATTGTTGGGCTTTTTGCTCTAATTAAATTGGACTCAGAATTATGAACATTTCCTCAGCACACACCATTTAACCATCCAGACCCATAATACCTTAACTAGTATTATTCATTTCAAAGAGGAACTGTTAATATGGTGCAATTTTCGTTGATAGATATTACAGAAAATGTCAATTTGTTTTCTTCAACCCCTACTAATGGTTTTAACTGGCATAAAGTATTTATTCGAACTTAACCAAACCTTAAACCTTAAATGTTGTATTGTGTTACAGTTTATTGACTTGTATAGTATTGTAACAACACATTCAGGTTCACATAAGTGAATCTGAAACAGACACTATGTAAAGAATGGTGCTGTGTAATATAATGTAGATGTGGGTCCAGGAAATATAACTGAGCATGTGTCTTCTGAAAAATGTTTATTAAGCAGCTTACCACAGCGGGGTAATAGCCTACAGGATATCTCCCCACTGGTGTCTTGCAACACTCCAGACCTGAGAGAACAAACAAGTCACAATTGAGTGATTATTAAATGGGGGTAAGAGGGATCATTGTGGTGCAGTCTTGTCATCCCTCTATGAAGAGACCATTGCTTCAGGCTGGGGGCCTTTGTATCCCTGTATTTCAAGCTGCTTCCCTAGATCTGTTATATTTTGTTTTTATGAAGTGTTATAAATTCTGGACATGTTTGTAAAATAATTGCTCAAGATTTGTATAAAATATTGTTTATAGATCTTTTAAAGAATAAACAAAAATCTCATGGATGTCTGGAAATTTTTTAAATAAAATTAGGATTTAGAGAGTTGTTTTTTGTTTTTAATTGCCATCAAGTTCTTTCCAAGTCATGGGGACCCATGTGTTACAGATTAAAACTGCTCTGTAGGGTTTGGGGACTGTTATCTTAATAGAAATAAACCACCAGGCCCTTATTTTGCAGTGTGCTTGTTGTTGTTAAGTGCCCTTGACTCAGTTCTGACTCAAAGTGACCCTGCATAGGGTTTCCAAAGAGTAGCTGGTGGATTTGAACTGCCGACCTTACGGTTAGCAGGCCAGTGGTTATTCTACAGCACCACACCAGGACTCCCATCTGCATGGGTTTAAATCTACCTTTAGGGTGGTCATTGAAAGCAAACCATTAGTGCCACCTATTGTTAAGTGCCATCAAGTCGATTACAACTCATAACGATGCTGTACAAGGTTTCTGATGAGCAGCTGGTAGGTTTGAACTGCAGACCTTGTGGTTCACAGCCCAGTGCTGATCCTATAGCACCACACCAGAAAGAATGGTATATTAGACACCATGCTTCAAACAGTTCATTTGGTATAATCCCATGCTGAGGATTTGCAACTCCACCCAAGATACACTGAATTACAATCTACTTTTAACAGCTTTGCTTTTTAACACTTTGAAGGCTTTTGCTTTGAAGACTAAACTGCACCCAACCAAAGTCATGGTATTTTCAGAAAGAGGGAAGAATTGATGCCTTTGAATTATGGTGGTGGTGGTGTTGTGAAGTGCCATCGAGTCGGTTCCGACCCACAGACCCTGTATATAGACCCTGTTTCCGAGGAGCTGCTGGTGAGCTTGAACCACCGACCTTGCAGTTCAAACGGCTTTGCTGTCTGGCCCATTAACCCACGGCGGCACACCAGGACTCCTTGAATTATGGTGTAGGTTGTATGGTATAGGTTGTTAAGTGCCGTCGAGTCGGTTCCGACCCATAGCGACCCTGTAGAGGGTTTCCAAGGAGCGGCTGGTGAGCCTGAACCACCGACCTTGTGATCCAAACCGACTTTGCAGTGTAGCGCATTAGCCCACAGCGCCACACCAGGACTCTATAGTATAGGTTGTTGTTGTTATGTGCCATGGAGTCGGTTCTGACTCATAGCGACCCTGTACAGGGTTTCCGAGGCTGTAAATCTTTACAGGCTGTAAATCAAGGCAGAAGCAGAAAGCCTCATCTTTCTCCTACGGAACTGCTGACCTTGTGGTTCACAGCCCGATTCGTAACCACTATGCTACCAGAGCTCCTTATGGTGTAGGTAAGGGCTATCAAACATAACATGAATTGCTATGTGCAAGTTTAAGTTGAAACGGAAGAAAAAAAGTCCTTGAGAGTCAATATAGGATCTTGAGTATATCCATATCCGTATAGATTCCAAACTCAAACCCACTGCCATCGATTCATTCCTACTCATAACGACGCTATGTAAAGCGGGTAGGGGAAGTGCACTGACTGGTTCACAAGCTTGGCAGTTCAAGCCCACCAACCTCTCTGCAGGAGAAAGATGAGACTTTCTGCTTCTGCGTTGATTTCGACAGTACTTAACATATCATTAAAGGAAGCAGACAGCCTTATCTTTCTCCCTCCGAAGCTCCTAATGGGTTTGGAAATCCCTGAGGGCAGTTCTCCTCTATCCTATAGGATTGCTGAGTCAGAACTCACTAGTCAGCACGCTGCAGCTAATCCAAATTTATTTTATACCAACCAGGCTTAATACCTATAGCAAACATTTCCCAGGCTCTTGGCTGACACTGGGCAGGGAAGATTGTTGTTACTGCCGTCGAGTGGGTTCCGACCCATAGTGACCATGTATAGGGTTTCCAAGGAGCGGCTGGTGGGTTTGAACCACCGCTAGTCCGACTTTAGTTGGTCCTTTGTCCGCTTCATCAAAGGACGCTGCGAGCCAAGCACCTGGCAGTGCACTATAGAGTACTAGAGGGTGGTTGGGAGGATGGAATGCTATTCTATTACAGGAAGTTCCCAAAATCAAGATGACAGGATTGTAAAAACTGGGGTTGGTGGTGGTTATCAATCTTGCCTTGGATAGACCCCAAGTTTAACAATTTTGAGTGGAAACAGGCGTCCACTTCGAGAGACTGAAAGACTTTGCACTACCCAATGCAAAGATTCTCTGAAGAATATTAGGGGGGCCGCAAGGAAGAGCAAGATTGAGAAACCCAGTACAAAAGGCGAGAAGTTTAACCTTCTAGGAAGGTTAGGAAAGTAAACCAAGCTAATAACCCAGTTTCTCTCCTCGCCAAACCCTACAGCCAGTTGCCACAAAAAGTCTTATAAAGCCCTCACTGCCCAGGTTTCACCGACCTAAATACAACGAGCTGCTTCACGTCCGAGGCAGCGAACAAAAAGCAGGAAAGAGACAAAAAACTAAGACCTTCCGGGAAACCCGGATGCAACGTCACGTCAAAACGAAAATAAAATTGCCAGGCAATTCTAAGGGACAGGGAGGGCGAGCGCGCCTTCAGAATCGGCAATTGAGCATGTGCAAAGGTTAATGCGTAGGCGTCGTGGAGTACGTCATTGGCGGGCGCAGTCGTAATTAAATATACTTGAATTCGCGCAGACTCGGAAAACCGAATCTAATCTAAAGTCCCTGAAATGGCGGGCACAGGTTTGGTAGCCGGAGAGGCTGTGGTGGACGCGCTGCCCTATTTTGATCAAGGTTATGAGGCGCCTGGTGTGCGGGAAGCGGTGAGTAAGAGGTTTCTGTGTTGCTGACCCAGCGCTCGCTAGACTTTACAGTATCAGGTTGCGAACCTTAAGGTCAGCAGTTCGAAACTACCAGCTGTTCCGCGGGAGAAAGATGAGGCTTTCTGCTCCCGTAAAGATTTACAGCCTCGGAAACCCTGTACAGGGTCGCTATGGGTCGGAACCGACTCGTCGGCACTTAACAACAACAGAAAGCACGTGACATGTGCAGCCCCTGCCCTGACCCTTGTTCTCGTTCTTAGGCTGCGGCGTTGGTGGAGGAGGAAACTCGAAGATACCGACCAACAAAGAACTATCTGAGCTACCTGACAGCCCCTGATTATTCTGCTTTTGAGGTAAGTGTGATATTTTGAGCACAGTGTATTAAAGAGGATTTCAGTGCATTTTTATTTTGCATTGAGAGCCTCAGCTTCGTAAAAGTGAATTTCCAATCCACCCGCAGCTGTTGCTTGCTTAACTATTACTTAACCTGTCATCTCGGTTTTTCTCCATGGAAACATAAAACAAAACTTGATTAAATCAGCCTTCTCTGGGCTTCTCTTGAGACCCTGAGAGGGACTTTCTGGGGAGTCCGTGAACCGAAACCGACTGCAGAAATTTTTATGTACTTTTTCCTGAAATAGTATCCATAGGAGCCCTTTACTCTCTAAGACCTAATCTAAAACGTTTCATCTGGTTTGTTGGAGGATGAGGAAGGGGCTTGATTGGTTTTCTTGTGTGTTTATAATAAAGTTGATTTGTCTTGACTCTTGAGAGCCAGTGGAGGGCGGGCTTTTGTATTAAAGTATAGATACCGAAGCATGAAAATGGTTGAATTACCCTCTATGCCATTTTTAAATTGTTTTTCGTTAACGAGCCCAAGATACTAATTGGGATATTTCCTGGATGCAAAGTACCTTTTTTTTTTTTTGCAAAGTGGCATTTTTAAATTACTGGTTTGGAGATCTAGTGTGGCGCGACGCTGTAGGATAAGCACTGGACTGCTAACCCTAAGGTCGATGGTTCAAACCCACCACTTGCTGCTTGGAACCTAACTGTACAGAGCCACTATGAGTCGGAACTGACTAATGGCACTTAACAACAACAAAATTACTGCTTTGCTTTAGGTATTCTAGTATATAATATGTTCGAGGTTCATCTTCTCCAATATTGTTGTTGTTATGTGCTATGGAGTCGATTCCGACTCATAGCAACCCTGAACAGGGTCAAGACTGTAAATCTTCACTGGAGCAGAAAGCCGCATCTTTCTCCCGAGGAATGGCTGGTAGTTTCAAACTGCTGACCTTGTGGTTCACAGCCCAATTCGTAACCACTATACTACCATTTATTTATGAAAGGGTTGTATTCTTTAAACCAAAAAACAAACCCCCTGCCACTGAGACCTACTCATTCCTACTCCAAGCAACCCTGTATAGGATTTCTGAGACTAAATCTTTACTGGAACAGATAGCCTCATCTTCCTCCTGTGAGGCAGCTAGTGGGTTTGAACTGCCAACCTTGCAGTTGATAGCAGCGTTTATATTGAAATTTCCTGAAAAAATGTTGGTTATATTTTAAGTGGGAGAGATATGTTCTTATGAAATGTTATTTCATAAAACAAAGCTATTTTCTCATACTTTTTCTAAATGTAGCTTCCCTAAACCAGAAAACTTGTGGCTGTCGATTCTGACTTATGGTCCCCCTAAAGAACAGAATAGAATTGCCCCATAGGTTTTCTAAGGCTAACATTTTTATGAACACACACTGCCACCTCCATCTCCTGCAGAACAGCTGATGGATATGAACCACCAATCTTTTGGTTAGCCACCAAGCACTTAAGCACTGCATCACCAGGGTTCCTTTGTAGCTATCCAAATGTAGAGTATTTTCACATTACATACTAAGTGTAGTAATGTTTCCTTATTGGGTTGATAACCGGAAACTTCTGAATATCATAATCAATTTTTTAAATACTTTATTTGCAGTCTTAAATACAACATGCTTTCTACCTTTATAGTTGTTTTTGTTAAGTGCTATCGAGTTGGCTGCAACCCATAGCAACCCGGTATAGAGTTTACAGGGAACGACGACTGGTGAGCTTGAACCACTGACCTTCTGGTTCAAATCAACCTTGCAGTTCAGCGAATTAACCCGTAGTGCCACACCAAGACTCCAACCTTTATAATTAGTATACTGACTATTTAACCCTTTCTTCCTAATAGGAACAAAATACTGTACTAGGCTCACTTAGTCCTTGAAACAAATATATTTATTATATCTATTGTTTGAATAAGAAACTCTGTCTGAAACTAATATCTCCTCAAATTTCCATTGACAGTTCTTCCATTTAAGGAGCTTTGGTGTTGTAATGGATTCCAAGTTGGGCTGCTAACCACAAGGGCAGTAGTTTGAATCTAACAGGCGCTCCGTGGGAGAAGAATGAGGCTTTCTGCTCCCATAGAAATGTACAGCCTTGGAAACCTTACACAGGGTTGGTTACTGTGAATCAGAACTGACTCAGTGCCACACAACCAACACAGCCACTACTCTTCATTTATTCATTTAACAACTTTTTTGGGTGGGGTTAACTTTTTATTGTATTCTGATGAAACCAAAGCAAATTGGTTTTCCATTCAACTATTCAGTTACATTTTGTTTTGTGTCAATTTTGCAGTTCCCACAGTGTTTCATTCTGCTGTGCGTAAGGTCGCTATGAGTCGGTACCTACTCAGTGGCACCTAACAACAACACAGTGCGGTAGCACTTTTCCCACTTCCTCTCTGTATTTACCATTTCCTTTCGTCTTTCTTTCTTATGCCTTTCTGCTGCTTTCTGAGCTTTGTTATTGTGAACTGCCATCAAGTCAGTTCTGACTCATAGTAACCCTGTGTAGTGTTTCCAAGGAACTGGTGAGTTTGAACCTGTGACCTTGTGGTTCAGTGCGACCTTGCAGTCCAGTCCTTCATCCCACAGCGCCACCTGCTGCCCTTTTGCAGTGATCAGTTGCCCTAAGGAGTGCGTGCCTCCCAGTTGTTATTGTTCACCTTGAGGCCTATCTATCGTGTACCTAAAAGTTGAACCACAAGGATGAGTTCACTTGCAGGCCTGAGGAGCATCTAAGGGCTATAGTCTCAGGAGTTAACAACTATTTATGAAGATCTGTCATATGCCATGCATACATGGGGGGACAGAATAGGCAAGGTCCATATTCATGGAGCTTACGTTCTAGAGTGTCCGGACAGATAAATCAACAAATAGATTATTTATAAGTACTATACAAAGAATTCAAGTAGTGATGTGATAGAGTGATTGGGTGGCTACTTTAGATTGGATATTTGAGGAAGGCCTATTTATGCTGAGATGACACTGAATGTTAGCTCTGTAATACAGCAGGGGCCTTGTTTGTCCTCTTGACCTCTGTCATCACCTAGAGAAGTGCTTGACTTAACAATTCTAAGTGAATGCCCAGGAAATGAAAGCATATGTCAACACAAAAACTTGTACGTAATAGAATTATTCATAACAGACAAAAGATGGAAATAACTCAAATGTCTGTTAGCTAATTGATGGATAAGCAAAATGTCATGTGACCATACAATGGAATAGTAAGTATTTAGCCATAAAAAAATGAGGTATTTCCTGATACATGCTACAGAATGGGTGATCAGTGAAACTATTATGCTAAGTAAAATAAGTCAGTCACAGGAGTCCACATATTGTATGATTCCATTCACATTTCCAAAATAAAGGAAATCCATTTTTGAAAGGTAGCAAGTAGAGGTTGCTTAGAGGAGATGAGGGATGAGAGAACAGAAGGATGATGGGTAAGAGGTGTGGCTATGAAACTACTCTAAAATTGATTTTGCTGGTGGATGGACACATATTTATTTGAATTGTGCTTTTTAAGGGCATGCATGCATGCAGTGTATGATCTATGACTTAGTATCTCCATAAAGCTGTTTAAAAACTTACAACCAGAAATTTGGGCTCAGGGAATCACTGTTGATTACTTTTTAGCCTCATTATGATAGCTGAAGCCTATGTTGTTGTTGTTGTTGTTAAGTTCCGTCAAATCGGTTCCAACCCATAGCAACCCTGTGTAGGGTTTCCAAGGAGCGGCTGGTGAGCTTGAACCCTTAATTTTGTAGTCCAGCACATTAACCCACAGTTCCACACCAGGACTCCTATAGATAATTAAAATTACATGAACCAAATGAGATATGGTATGAAATTAATGTAAATTAATATTGTACATATATAATTCTGTGTACTTCAAGTAGAACAGAAGTGGAATAGGATATTGACAGAACATAGAAAGCAGTCAGATTACTAGATAAGATAGCAGAATCTTTCCTTTTGTGCTCCTTCTCTCCCGCCTCCATTTTATCCTAAAAGCAAAGTATGAAAATAACAGCCAAGACCAAAAGAAAGTACAGGTTTAGGCTTATAGCCCTCAAGCAGATTTTATGTCCAAGTCCTCTTCACTTTTTCTGCATCCCCAGTGAATACTTAAATCCCTGCTTCACAACCCTGGCTTTACTTTAGGATCAACTAGTGAGTTAAAAACAACAATTATAATAGCCCTATCCAGGCTCCATCTAAGACCCATTAAATGGAAGTAGAGAAGAAGGCTAAGAAGTGACCAGGATTAGAATTATTTTTAAATCTCCCCAACTGATTTTCATATGCTGCTGTGATTGAGAACCACTGATTTAGAATTAATTCTTTTTTTCTGTGGAGTCTTTATTCATATGCCCGTTTTCTGCCTGAACTGGCTATGGATTTAAGGACATCTGAGTTCACTGTGTGTGTGTGCATGTGTTTTCTGCTCCTGCTCCTTGAGAGCAGTTAGGAAAGGGAATTGCTGCATCGTAATTGATAGTATAAATACCTAGGCGTTCCTGACAGGTGCATACTGTTCATGAGTTGTGCTGAACCTATGTGTTATATGTAAACTGACAACTGAAGAGGTGTATGTAAATATCCACGCAGGTTAGATTCATCATTTGCTTGGTAATTTCTAATTTCAACTTACAGTAACAATATTGGAAATAATTCTTTCTCTGATTTATACATCAGACAGACATTATGAGAAACGAATTTGAAAGACTGGCTGCTCGACAACCAATTGAATTGCTAAGTATGAAACGGTAAGTCCAATGTATGCGGTCATTGGGGCTCATTCACTGTTTAATTTACAAGTAAATCTGTATTGCAACCACGTTAAAGTAAATGATGAAAAAAAAATTCTGGTGTTTGTTTTTTTTCATAGAAGTAGTTCATATGTTGTTAAGTGCCTCCACGTCTGTTCTGACTCACAGTAACCCTGTATAGGGTTTCTTAGGAGTGCCTGATGGGTTTGAACCACTGGTCATGTGATTCAAACTGACCTTGTGGTCCAGTGCATTATCCTGTGTGTCACACAGGTTCATTTAATGCTGTTTTAGTGTTAAAAGATGGTTTTTACAACATTATTTTTTATAAAGTGTAAGTTTTTAAAAATTCCAACAACAGGAAGATGTTAATGTGAATTAAAGATGTTTTAAGAATTTCCAAGGAAATACCTCTGACTAGACATCTACTTTTTCCCTATTCACATGTATATAGTGTAACCCGTGTTAGGAGTTACAATCCCTGATTCATTTTTCTAAAAGACAGCATTAGTAATTTGTGCCAAGAGAATAGTTGGACTCTAGCTCTACTTTCTCTCCTCCCATGCCACTATGTCTCCTTCCTTTCCCCTTAGGATGGGGTGAAAGCACCCTTAGTTACTTTCTTTAAAATAGCATTGGGTTGGTTAATACCTGAATTTCCTTTCAGTGCTAAGATACAGTAGTGCTAGTCATGTAATCTGGAGTCCTGGTGTGGCTCTGTGGGCTAATGTGTCAGACTGCAAAGTTGTTTGAACTGCAAGGTTGGTGGTTCAAGCTCACCAGCTGCTCCTTGGAAACCCTACACAGGGTTGCTATGGGTTGGAGTTGACTTGATGGCACTCAACAAGTAATGTAATCTATTAGAGAAGGGTCCTGCAGTAGTGGTGTAAAACAAGGATCTCTTGGTCTTGGTCTTTGGTTCCCAAACAAATAATGCTTAGAATTTCTCAAGTAATCAGTGCCTTTTTTGTCGCCTCCAAACAGCACTTGAGGATTTGTAGAAACAAGTGGGGACTAGCTAGGGCACAGAGACCACACCTTGTCAGCCAACCTCGGGTAGTGAGAGGGAGATGATTCAGTCAATCTTACATATTCAATGATGCCCCAACATAAGTATTCAAATAACAGCCAAATAGCGGCCATAAGCATGGAAGTTCCCTGGGCTTCCTGCTTAGAAAAAGACATCAGGAGAGGGTCACACATTCCTGGGGACATGGAAACTGTGTTGGGAGCCACCCCAGACTATTCTATGTGTCTCATATTTTTTCAGGTTATATGGCATTCTGAAAGACTGTCCTCTTAATATGTGTGTTCTAACTTAAGTCGGGTGGCTACCATCGAGACGAGGCTGTGTAGACAGCGAGTCTAAAAGATAATGCTTTTTTTATTTTTTTAATTAAAACAAAAAAACTTCATTGTGATTTGAATGAAAGTTTACAGAGCAGAGTATGTTGTTTTACATTCAACAAACCATGCACTTCATTACATGGTTGCAATCCCTTCCATATACCAACAGTTAATAGCATTTACCTCTATTCACTTTTAACTACGCCTCCCTATGTCTCCTGCTAACTTTATCTTTCCTCTGCTAACTTCCTTGTATATTGCCTACCCTGTCATTCATGTTAACATGGTGTACCCTTTAGCCCTGTTAGAATAGTGGTTACGAATCAGGCTGTGAGCCTCAAGGTCAGCAGTTCGAAACTACCAGCTGTTCCGTGAGAGAAAGATGAGGCGATCTGTGCGCATAAAGATTTACAGCCTTGAAAACCCTGTACAGGGTCGCTGTGAGTTGGAACCGACTCCATGGCACATAACCACCACCTTCACCCTTAGCTCATAAGTACTTTTCACTTCCTTCCACCCCCATAATGATCATAGATTGTTTCTTTTATCAAGAAAACCTTTTTTTAACTTTTTACAAATTGATCTCATACAATGTTTGTCCTTTTGTGACTCTAATTTAATTCAGCATAATGTCCTCTAGGTTCAACCATGTTATGAGTGTTTCACAGATTCATCCTTATTCTTCAATGTTTTGTAGTATTGTGTGCATGTACCAGAGTTTACATAACCATTCTACTGTTGATGGGCATTTATGCTGTCTCCACCTTTTTAGACAATGTATTGAAGGATCCTATTATTTTATCTTTTCTGCCATTTATGTCTCTTGACTGGTACATTTAATCCTTTTACATTCATTGTAATTATCAGTAGGTGAGAATGACATTGATTACTGTCATTTTTCTGTGTGTGCAGTTTTTATGATATTACTAGATTCTTTGTTTCATATAATTTTCTGTGTTGAGTTCATTTTGTTTGTGGGTTTTCTTTTCATTTTCATGTTTGTTCTGTTAATGTTTATTAAATCTTCCTGATATTCCTCTTTTTATATTTTGATATGCAGGTATATTATTTTTCTTTGAGGTTACCCTGTAATTTATTCATTTTTTCCCCTACTTAAAATAGTTTGCTTTTTCTTGAAATAGACTTGATTTCCTTGCCACTTGGAAGTTCTGTATCTACACTATTCCCTCTTTCTGCTTTGTAGTTGACTTCATTATATGTGGCTATCTGTAGTTCCCTTGTAAGTTTGTTTTACTTTAAATATTTATATCTGAATTGAGTTCTGGGTGGTGTTTACATGTATGATAATCTAAGATTGTTGTGTGCTGTTGTTGGTTCTCAATCCAAGAACACCCTTTTGCATTTTTTGTAAAGTTGATATGGTCATAAAAAATTCGTTTAATTTCTGTTTATCTGAAAATGTCTTAATTTCGCCATAATATTTGAGAGACGGTTTTGCTGGGTACATGATTCTTGGTTGGTAGGGTTTTTTTTCTTTCAGAGTTTTGTATATGTAATTCCATTGCCTTCTTGCCTGGATGGGATTTTCTTCTGAGAAATCAGAGCTTAGGCTTACTGGTTCTTCTTTGCAGGTAACTTTTTGTTTTTCCTCAGCTGCTATCAGGATTCTTTCCTTGTCTTTTATTTTGGAAAGTTTGATTATATGTCTTGGTGATTTTCTTTTGGTATCTATCCTACTCAGCTTGTTGTATGCTTATCTTCTTGTCTTTCATGATGTTAGGGAAGTTTTCTTCCAACAACTCTTCAACAATTTTCTCTGTACTTTTTATTGTCTCTTCCTGTTCTAGAATTCCAATCACCTGTAAGTTATTCCTCTTCATGGTGTCCCACATAGCTCTTAGGCTTTCTTCAGATTTTTTCATTTTCTTTTCTGATTATATTTCTAGAATGCTAATATTGAGAGATTTATCTTTAAGCTCATTAATTCAGACTTCCGTTGATACACATCTACTCCTTTGCCTTTTCAATGTATTGTCCTTTTCTGAAACCTTAGTATTAATCTTCTGGATTTCTAATTGCAGGTTTTGTATTGTTTCAGAATTACATTTATTTTGTCTGTTTGTTCTTGTAGTGTTTTCCTGAATTCTTCTAAAGTTGTTACTGTGTTTTCCTTGCTTTCCTCTTTCTATGGATCCTTTGACATAACCTAATTATCATTCTTTTGAATTCTTTTTTAGTTAGTTCCATAACCTTTTTTACTTGGAAACATTCTCTGACTCTGCATCTTAGTCATTTGTTTAAGCCATTCTCTCTTGTTTCTTCGATGAGCTAAAGTTGCCTGTTATCTCTGGGGCATTATGGAGTTGTCTTATTGCCTAAAACAAAAAGTGCCATTGTTGGGCCTAGTAGGGGGAGAAACCTATGGGGGACTCCTTCAATTCAAGGATCTCATGAGGTGGATGTGGGAGGTATGTGGCAGCAGAGTTCCTGGCTTTAGATGGAGTTCCTATTGGCCTCGGTGTTATCTATGTTCAGGGCACTCAATCCAGAAGTAGTTCGTGGGGGTCCTGGTGGAGCTGGTTTCAGTGTCTGTTAGGACCACAAGGAAGCTAGGGGGTAGGGTGACTGGTCTGGTGGCAGGTTCTGTAGGTCTGGAGCCAAGCCCACATAAATCCAGGTACCAAAGTGGTGCAGCCAGCCCCCACCTCACGCTGGTGTGATTCCCAATCATGTGGCTCCAAACTCCCAAGTGCTCTGGGTTGATGAAGGTGGGACCCGGAAAAAGAAGAAATTGCACCTTTACTGATATCTGCGAGAATCTGCTCTGCCAGGCCTCCCTCCACTGCCCACGCTGCTCATGAGATGGTCGAACTTCATCCAGCCGTTCACCAGTCAGTCTCTCCCTCTCTCACTGACCCTGCTCCTCCTCTCCTCCCAGCAAGCACTGCATCCACCTCTCAGGGTACCAGAATTTTCATCTGTACCTGTTGTATTTTGTCTCTCATATGTTTGCTGTAGAGGGTTTGTATAGTGTCCTCCATCTTGCTGGAAATTTAGGACGATGTCCTTTTAACTTATGCTCTGACTTGGAGAGAGGTGGTTAGAATTAGACAAGGGATACTCAGGCACTCAGTCTGAAGGAGGAGGGTGTGCTTTTTACTTGTGAGCTGTTAAACAGCACTGGTTGACTGGGGTCAGAGAGACAGTGCAACTTGAAGCAACTAATGACAGTGATGGAGAATTGGAACACTAGATCTAGTTCCAGGTGAGGACTCGGGGATCCTTACCATGCATTTGGCAATGAGAGTGATATTTGCCCGCCATGCATCTTATTTAGCACAGTGGGCCATGTGAACAACAAGGCTGTCCTCTCAGTATATAAGAGGGGCCTGAGTCTGTAGAACTGATACCTTAGCCTGGGTTCCCTAGAGGAGCAAAGTCAATGAGCCATATGCATGTGTATACATATAGAGAGAGGAAAATAGGAATACCAGAATGCACTGCAGTTAAAAGTAAGTATTATAGTATAAAATATATTTGTTACTTATATTTGCTGGCTATATTGGCAGTGTTGTAGAAAGAGATCGTATAAAGTAAGGTCCAAATGTGAAGAATTATTATATGCTTCCCATCCTCCTCTAGAGTTCTCTGTGTGTGCTTTACAAATATGGTAGCACAGATTTCTGTATCCTACTTTTCTCGCTTTTTTTTTTTTTTTTTTTTTTTAAGTTTTGTTGTGAATTGAGTGGACTTTTTTCTCTTAATATATCGTTGTTGTTGTTGTTGTTAGGTGCCATCGAGTCGATGCCGACTCATAGTGATCCTATGAACGACAGAACAAAACACTGCCTGGTCCAGGGCCAACCTCACAATTGTTGCCATGCTTGAGCCCATTGGTGCTGCCATATTGCCAGTGCATCTCGTTGGGGTCTTCCTCTTTTTCTCTGACCTTCCACCTTATCAAATATGATATCCTTCTCCAGCTACTGGGCCATCCTGACAATATGTCCGAAGTATGAGAGACGAATTTTGGGCATCCTGGCCTCCAAGGAGCATTTCGGCTGCACGTCTTCCAGTGTAGATCTGTTGATTCTTTAGGCAGCCCATGGCACTTTCAGTATTCTCCTCCAACACCATAACTCAAAAGCATCAATTCTTCTATGGTCTTCCTTATTCACTGTCCAGCCTCTCACATGCATATGAGGTTATTGAAAATACCATGGCTTAGGTCAGATGCACCTTAGTCCTCAAGCTGACATCTTTGCTCTTCAACACTTAAAAAGATCTTGTGCAGCAGATTTGCCTAATGCAATAAATCATTTGATTTCTTGACTGCTACTTCCATGATTGTTGATAGTTGATCCAAGAAGAATGAAGACTTTGACAACTTCAATCTTTTCTTTGTTGATAAAAATGTTGTTTATTGGTCCAGTGGTGAGGATTTTTGTTTTCTTTACATTGAGATGCAATCCATACTGAAGGCTGTGGTCTTTGATACTCATTAGTAAGTATTTTAAGTCCTCTTCACTTTCAGTAAGCAAGGTTGTATGATCTGCATATCACAGGTTGTTAATGAGTCTTCCTCCAATCCTGATGCCACGTTTTTCTTCATATAACTCAGCGTCTCGGATGATTTGCTCAGCATACAGGTTGAAAAGTATGGTGAAAGAATAAAACCCTGTTGCGCACACCTTTCTTAATTTCAAACCATTCAGTGTTTCCATGTTCTGTTCGAACAACTGCCTCTTGGTCCATGTACAGATTCCTCATGAGCACAATCAAGTGTTCCAGAATACTCGTACTTTGCAATGTTGTCCATAGCTTGTCATTATCCACACAATCGAAAGCTTTTGTGTAGTCAATAAAGCACAGGTAAACATCTTTCTGGTATTCTCTGTTTTCAGCCAAGATCCATCGGACATCAGCATTGATATCCCTTGATCTACGGCCTCTTCTGAATCCGACTTGCACCTCTGAAAGTTCTCTGTCAATGTATGCTTGCAGCCGTTTCTGTATTACCTTTAGTAAAGCTTTACTCGCATGGGATATCAAAGGTATCATCCGATGATTTCCGCATTCTCTTTGGAATGGGCACCAATACGATTTCTTCCCATCAGTCAACCGGGTAGTTGTCTTCCAGATTTCTTGGCAGAGATGAGTGAATGCCTCCAGTGCTGCTTCATTTTCTTGAAAGATTTCGATTTTTATTCCAATTCCTGGTGTTTTGTTCTTTGCCAGTTTCTTCATTGCACCCTGATCGTCTTCCTTCAGTATCGTTGGCTCTTGATCATACGTTACCCCTTGAAACAGTTGAACATCAACCATATCCTTTTGGTACTGTGACTCTGTATATTCCTTGCATCTTCTTTTGATGGTTTCTGCATCATTCATTAATTGGCCCAGAGAATCCTTCATTAATGAAAGTCGAGGCTTAAATTTTTTCTTCAGTTCCCCTAGCTTGAGAAATGCTGAGTGTGTTCTTCCATTTTAGTTTTCTGACTCCAGATCTTATACATTTCATTGTAATATTTGACTTTGTCTTCTCAAGCTGATCTTTGAAATTTTCTGTTTAGCTCTTGTACCTCTTCATTTCTTCCATTTGCTTTAGCATCTCTTTACAGGCACTTTAATGTTACTAAATTAAGAAAATAATACAAAAACTAATATAACGATACTTTATAAAACAAATCTATCATATCTTATTCAGTTTCCTTGTATTTATATTAGGAGAATAAGTGTTTGCTGTTGTATATGATGTTAAGTCTTATTTGTAAATTTATTGATTCTTAGGACAAAGAGGTTTATTATTATTGCGAGGTCTGTATCTTATTTTCAGTCTTCAGTGGTATTTAAAATATTCTTAGATCCATGAGAGTATCTGTGAGGAGGAATGAAGTTTTCAGGGAATATATGATTTTCTTTTTCGTTGTTTAATTTCAGATATGAACTTCCAGCTCCTTCCTCAGGTCAGAAAAATGATATTACTGCATGGCAAGAATGTGTAAATAATTCTATGGCCCAGTTAGAACATCAAGCCGTCCGAATTGAGAATCTGGAACTAATGTCACAGCATGGATGCAATGCATGGAAAGTATATAATGAGTAAGAAGCTTTTCTCTATTTGTTTAAAACCCATTCAATCCCCAGTTTTGTTTGTTTTTAAAGTGGGAAAAGGGATTAGGCTTGAGGAAGTGAGATGAAAATTAAGTAAAGCTAGACACTCAGACTTTGGACTATCTCCTAAAACTACCACTATGTGAAAGATCCCTGCATTGAAACCCAACTCAGTTCAAGAATACAGAGACCTGGTTTAAAAATTGCTATGTGTAATCCTAAATGTGGGGGTTCCTTTTAACTAGACAATGAACCCATAAAAGGTTTTTTGCTGCCAGAAGTAGCCACTGAAATCCTATTCCTGTGCTGTAAAAGTTCCTTTTCCTTATTTGTAAAATTGGGGAGTTAGATTCTGTCTTTGGGTCCATTGAGCCTAAATTGCCCTTAAGTCTCTCAACAATTGTTTTAGGAAGACAGACCATTAAACTTCATGGCTGTATAAAAGTGTTTACTAGAGTATGTTTCCTAAAACATAACTGTAAAAAGTAAACTAAAACCACAGAATAGTAAATATCTTTTCTCACATCTTCAGAATTATGTTTTAACTTACATGGCAATGTAAGAATACAGTGGACAATAACTTATATGGCAATGTAAGGATACAGTGGACAAAACCCAAAATTTGGGAAATACTGTACAACAAACTACTTCTTTATTTTGTGATTATGTTGCCAGAGGAAAAACAAAGAATGAGGTTGGGGTTATTAAAACATTTAAGGAGACAGATCAGTCAAAGACATGTCTGTGTTTCATGGAGTAGAAAAATTGTGACCCTTGTTCTCAAGAAGCTTTATTTAGTTGAGGATACAAAATGTTTGGTGCAAAATAACCATTAGTCCATTTTTTGACAATAAAGGGCAAGTGCTGTGGTGTACAAACTACCAAGATTCAGACAAGGGACATTAAGAATGAAAGTCATTTAAAAAGTATGCGATTTAGATATTTAGAGGAAGAGGAAGATTGCAAGAATGAGGGGAAACATGGATGCAGAGGAAAAAACATTGAATTACAAAGACCATTGCTTTTAACTTGTCAGTCAGCTGCCGGGAAACCCTTAATTCTTCCCCTTACCTGCAAGGGAAGGTCTAAACTATTTAACATAGTAGTTAAGGTCTTCCAAACTATTTGTGGACTTTCCTTCAAGTCGAACAAGTCCTCTCTGATGATCATAAATCTTGTATCTAGGTGTCTGTGCATGCCTTGCTGACTTCTGAAGGGCTCTTACTTGTTCTACCCAAATTCAGCATAAGACCCAGTTCGTGTGCTTGCTTGTCTTCCGTTTTTGTAATTCCCTTTATTTCTAATCTCTCCTTTTTCTGAATAACTACACATCGTTTGTTTTTCACTTAGTCATACAATACTCTGTAGTGTTAACTTTCTAAACCTATTTTGTCTCCTCCAAACCCATGAATGCTTCTCCAGAGGAGGTCTATTGCATCTTATCAAGTAAATATTCTTTATTTCATGCAAGGTTTTGAAGGTGTTATGTATACTAGGCAAAACTATTTGTCACAGTGCAGGACTGTTAGACAAATAGTATTTCATTAATAAAGAGAAATCTGGGGCTGGAGTCTGTATCTCTAGCCTTCCAAAACAGTTCTCTTTTTCTTTACTCTCTATAGTTAACAATACACAGGAAGAGTTTTAAGATATATGCAGATACAGAAATATAGAGGTAAAATGACATGTAAATTAGTGGTTTAAAAAAAAAAAGCCAGCAACGAAAATCTTCACAGCTGGACCAATAAACAGATAAACAGAAAAGATTGAGCTTGTCAAAGGCTTCCATTTTGCTTGGTAGATCCATAATCAATGCTCATGGAAGCAGCAGTCAAGAAATCAAACAATGTATTCCATTAGACAAATCTACAAAGGACCTCTTTAAAGTGTTAAAGAGCAAAGATGTCAGTTTGAAGACGAAACTAAGGTATGCCTGGCATAAGCCATGGTGTTTCCGATTACCTCATATGCATAGGACAGTTGGATAATGAATAAGATTATAGAAGAAAGTACCATAGACTGCCAAAAGAACAATCTGTCTTGGAAGAATTATAGCCAGAATGCTCCTTAGAAGGGAGTATGTTAAGACACTGTCTTTCTACATTGACATATTGGTAGGAGAACATTGTGGTTGTTAGGTGCCATCGAGTTGGTCCCGACTCATAGCGACCTTATGCATAGCAGAACAAAACACTGCCGGATCCTGGGCCAACCTCACTATCGTTGCCACGCTTGAGCCCATTGATGCTGCCACTTTGCCAGTCCGTCTCACTGGGGGTCTTCCTCTTTTTCTCTGACCCCTCCACCCTACCGAACATGATATCCTTCTCCAGTGACTGGACCCTTCTGACAATATGTCTGAAATATGAGAGAAAAAGTTTGGCTATCATGGTCTCTAAGGAGCACTCTGGCTACACTTCTTCCAACACAGAAATGTTGGATCTTTTGGCAGCCCATGGCACTTTCAATATTCTCCTCCAACACCATAACTCAAAAGCATCAATTCTTGAGGTCCACTTGGCACTGTGTGTGGGGAAGGTGCACTCTTTGGGGGATCTCCTCGTGGTTGTGGGGAGTAAGACCAGGTCTCTGCCGCGTGGACAGTATATCAGACAATGAGGACAATTTTGATGATGTGGAGGAGGAGGAAGGACTAAATGACCTGGAGAATGCCGAGGGGGAAGGCCAGGAGAACGTGGAGATCCTTCTGTCAGGGGAGAGACGACAGGCCAACCAGAAGCAGATCACCACACTGTACATGACCAAGATGTGTGCCCCCATGATGCTGGAACTGGAGGGGGAGACAGACCCCCTGCTTATTGCCATGAAGGAATTCAAGTCCCGAAAGATCCCCATTATCATTTGCTGCTACATGCCAGATGAGAGCTATGAGGGACGTGAACGGACTCATCATCACCGACTGAGCCCCAGCCGCCTTCCCGCACCACCTCGACCTCTACCCTCCTGCTCTTCATCTGTGTAAATAATAAAGTGCTCCACCTTCAACGAAAAAAGCATCAATTCTATGATCTTCCTTATTCATTGTCCAGCTTTCACATACGTATGAGGTTATTGAAAATACCATGGCTTGGGTCAGGCGCACCTTAGTCCTCAAGCTGACATCTTTGCTCTTCAACACTTTAAAAAGTTCCTGTGCAGCAGATTTGCCTAATACAATACATCATCTGATCTCTTGACTGCTGCTTCCGTGAATGTTGATAGTTGATCCAAGAAGAATGAAGTTCTTGACAACTTCAAATCTTTACTCCATTGATAAGGATGTTGTTTAAAGTCCTCTTCACTTTCAGCAAGCAAGGTTGTTATCATCTGCATATTGCAAGTTGTTCATGAATCTTCTTCCAATCCTGATGCCACGTTTTTCTTCATGTAACCCAGCTTCTCGGATTATTTGCTCAGCATACAGGTTGAATAAGTATGGTGAAAGAATACAACCCTGTCGCACACCTTTCTTAATTTTAAACCATTCGGTGTTCTCTCGTTCTGTTTGAACAACTGCCTGTTGGTCCATGTATGGATTCCTCATGAGCACAATTAAGTGTTCCAGTATACTCACACTTCACAATGTTGTTCGTAGCTTGTCCTGATCCATACAATAGGAAAAGTGGCAGTTTAGCAGAAAAGATGAAGTCCCCCAACAAGCTGGATTGACTCAGTGGCAGCAGCAATGGGCTCAGGTGTAGCAATTGTGAGGATGGTGCAGGACCAGGGCAGTGTTACATTTTGTTATGCAGAGGGTGGTTCTGAGTCAGAAACAAGTCAGTGGAACCTGACAGCAACAACAACAAATAATCAAGTATTTTTCATCCATGAAAAGAAGACTTGACAGCTCAGGAAGTGACACAAGGTGCACAAAGGCAGGATAGATGGGGCTCTAGAGTTGAAAATACTTGGAATAGGGTCCAACTCTAACAAATGCCTCATTCTTCATCTGTGAAATGGGTAATTACACTTACCTCAAAGCAGGCCTGTAATATTAAATTAGTATTTATACCTCATGCTCATATGTGAGTCAGAATCAACAACAACAAAACAAATATTTATGAAAGGTTTTGGTGGTCAGTGGTGAAATTCTTGCCCTTCATGCAGGAGAACCAGGTTTATTCCCTAGTGCGCCCGAAACGCAGCCACCACTTGTCTGTCCATGAGGCATGCATATTGCTATATGATAAGTGTCAGTGGAGCTAACAGACTTAAAACAGACTAGGAAGAAAGGCCTGGTCATCTGTTTCTAAAAATCAGCCAGTGAAAACCCTATGGATCACAATGGTCCAATCCTGTTTTGCATCAAGTAACCATGAGTTGGGGGCCAACTCAGTAGCACCTAACAATACTTAGGAAGTATCTAACTCGGTGCCTTTAGCACACACAACTTTGTATCAATCACATGGTTCACTTTTGTTTGTACGAATCAATTTTAATATACCTTAACTAACCTCTTTTCTTTCTTTAGAAATTTAGTTCATATGATTGAACACGCCCAGAAAGAGCTCCAAAAGTTAAGGTAAATGGTTTGTTGTGATGATTTTAGAAAAAAGTTTAAGCAAACTCAAAAAGAAATCTGAGATCATAGTCACGTGAGAGTAAACGGTTGATCTACTTTTTGTCCAGCTTCTGACACAGGGTTTATGCAGAGTGGAGAAGAGGTCTGAAAAGATCTCTGCCAGGTCATTCACACTGTGTAAGTCTGAAGACACAGAAAAGACAATTTTAGAGACAAAAGAAGTTGTCGAATAATATGTACAATCTGAATACTACTGCTGTGTGCCAGTTTTGATATATATCAACCCCGTATTGCAGGGGTGGGCAACCTTGTTGCAACCAAAATTTGTGACTTCGTTCATGGGCAATATAAAATTATCAATTTAAAAATCAGCATGCTATATTTGTTTGGAGCCCTGGTGTGGTGCTGTGGCTGTGGCGTTGTGGTGTGGCACTAGACTGCAGAGTTGCTTTGAATTGCAAGGTCAGTCGTTCAAGCTCACCAGCTACTCCTCGGAAACCCTATATAGTGTCACTAAGGAGCTCTGGTAGCGTAGTGGTTACGAATCGGGCTGCGAACCTTAAGGTCAGCGGTTCGAAACTACCAGCTGCACCGCGGGAGAAAGATGAGGCTTTCTACTCCCGTAAAGATTTACACCCTCGGAAACCCTATACAGGGTCGCTATG